ATTTTTCTGTAGGTAGTTATTATTTTAATTAATACATTTTCCAGGCTCATATCGATATTTTGTGAGTTGAACAATATTATCTTACTGTCTATAAATAAAATTAATAACCCAACAATCAATCTAATCGGCAACTCTCGAGATGTTTTTCTAGGAAAAACATGCGTCTGTGTAAAAGCGTCTGCGTCTGTATATAACCATATTAATATTATGATCAAAATTTAAAATAATTTTAAATCCAACGTTATTTTGGTTGTATAAATAAATAAATAAAAACGTTGACAAAAAATATTGATAAAATGAAAAATGATTTAAAATATGCATCTAAAAGTATAAAATGGAAGAATTTGCCCTAAAAACCGAAAAAACGCAAAATATGCACTAAAAACTAAAAAAAACGCAAAATATGCCCTAAAAACCAAAAAAACGCAAAATATGCATTTATATGCACAATAAAATTTCAAAACTAGCTTTGTGGAAGCATGAAACGTATTTGTTTCGCACTCTGCTATTTTTGTGACTGTGCAAAAAAAATATGCAAATGCTACAAGTCCTCTGCCTTATACATAAATAATGTTTTGTTATTTGTTTTTTTTTTTGTGGAGTGAGGGGCTACTTACTAGGTAGAATACCTACTGAATACCTAGCATTATATGAATATGAACAAGCTCCCCTTGAGATTACCTTGCTAGTTGCTATAAGCATAATATACCAATATACCATATTAATACCTTTAAATCTTAATACCTTATAATGTACAAGCTTAAAGTGTGGGGTTTATGAATAAATAAAAAATGCAGTTCAAATGTTTTTCCGGGAATTTATTTTCTGATTAATCTTTACTCCAAGACCATTATAATATGCGAATGGACATTTGTTACAAATGTTTTGTATAATAAATTAATAAATCCTGTGGAACAAATAAATTATGGAACAACAAACGTTCATCGGAACAAAGATATATGTAAGAATATATATAATTGAATGGATGTCAATTGAAACAAATGTATTTCGACGAATGTAAATAGGAACAAAGGTAAAACTTGGAAATTAATATCAATGGAATAAGTTGAAAGTTGACTTGGAAAAAAAAATGTGGAACAAAATGTAGTTTCCAAAATGATGATTGATGACAACAAGCATTATTAAAGGGTTTGATATAGCTATAAAGTATAAAGGCATTGACACAAATAACGTTTGAAATTTGAGGGCAGATGAAACCCTACTATAATAATATTGAAGAAGTTTAAAAAACTGTTAGGTAATATTGGGGGGGGGGGCTATTGAAATGTTTTAAAACCCCTCCTCATAGTTGCACCTATGAATATCCACAAAATATAGCCTATGCGTAAATATACGTAAATAATATATAGGTACCTCGTACCTATACGAAATTTCAAAATTTTAACTTTCTAAATTCTGAGATTTAATTTTCTGGGAAATTATGGTCTACAGTATCACTTTCTGTAATACAACGTTCTGTAATTATAATTTCAGGCTTTAAACTTTATGGAATTTAATTTTCTGGAAAATTATGGTCGACGTTATCACTTTCTGTATAACTACGTTCTGTGATTATAATTTCAGGTTTTTAACTTTCTGGGATAAAAATTCTGTACACATATTTTATGTTCATTTTATTTTCAATATGAAAACAATTCTGGAACATTAATTTCCATGTGTTTTGTTTTCTGTAATTTTTCTTTCTGTCGTTTTATTTTCTATCACTATATTTTTCTGTTAAATTTAATTTATGGATTACTAACGTTCGGTTCCTTTATTTTCGGGAAAATGATACGTTCCCGCTATATCCCCGACGGTAGGCGGAAAAAAAGCCCACGGAAAAAAAGCCCAAGGAAAAAAAGCCCAGAAAAAAAAGCCCACGGAAAAAAAGCCCAAAAAAAAAATACACTGAGGAAAAAAAGCCCACGGAAAAAAAGCCCAAGGAAAAAAAGCCCAAAAATATAAATATAAATGTGAACAAAATATAATAATATATTAATAATACATTACTATACTATAACAGATAATAATCATAAATAATTGTATAAGAGGCATATATAGGTAATTTTATAAAAGAAAATATTAAAATTTCAAATATGACTTATACATAATATATAACTATTGAAAATTTTTAATGTATTTTAATTTAAGAAATATTATTAAGGTATATTATTATATAGAGGGTTTGATACTGCCATGAACTGATGAACCACCTGTCAATAAATTGCATTTTTATTACCCAACTATTGATAAGCACTTTTACATTTAATTTAATTTATATTGTTCGGTACTTACCAATATAATTTATATATATAACCAGTCAAAATGTTAAAATTTATCAATAACTGGGTAATATTGACACTCCATATAGTACTCCATTACTTGGTTATTGAGATACTATCTACACGTCCTACTAGTACAGTTTTATCCAGTTATACATTTGTTATATATTTTATACTTTTGTTTTACCAATTTTTGTGAATAAGGAGATTATCAAATCAAATAAAGGTGGTAACAAAGGTTTTTACAAAGGTTATGTATATGTTGTAAAGTATATTGGCGTATCAAAAATAACCTGGAGGTGTTCTCAGAGGTGTTCAATGAAATGTACTGGAGAATTATACACCGATCTCAAAATTTACAGTATCACACTATACCCAACAAAATATTTATATTATTATTGTATTATTACAGTTGAAAATTGACTGACCTGCTGTGACTATTACTATTATAATTAACAATTAATTATTATTTTCATTATAATATATAATAATATATTATTATATTTTGTTCACATTTATATTTGTATTTCTGGGCTTTTTTTCCGTGGGCTTTTTTTCCTCAGTGTATTTTTTTTTTGGGCTTTTTTTCCGTGGGCTTTTTTTTCTGGGCTTTTTTTCCTTGGGCTTTTTTTCCGTGGGCTTTTTTTCCGCGATTCATCCCCGACAGTCGGGTCTTTATTAAAGACCCGACAACTATGATAACAAATGCGCATGCGCGGAAAATACACATGATAACAATATAACAATGATAACGCCTGTGATAATCTGATAATATTATTATTCATAGATTATAATATTAATTAGTAATTATTACTAATTGCCAATTGGTAGTAACATCATATATTTTAGAAATAGGTTATTTGTGAATTGCGAGGTGAATTGTGTGAATATTAATAAATATTAATGTGGATATTATGTACCAAAATTAAACAAAAATAATTAACAAAAACAATCATAATCATTTTATCCTAGCTATCTAAAATCTAAAAAATAATAATTCAGTTTTACCAGTCATCACAAATTTTACATATTCAATTGAAAATCTAAAAATAAAAAAAGTTTATATCACAGTCATTTGTGTATGTCTTCACTAAAAATCTAAAAAAAAAATGTACAGTTATAAATCATCTCATTAGTCACTCAAAATTAAACAAAAACAATCATAATCATTTTATCCTAACTATCTAAAATCTAAAAAATAATAATTCAGTTTTACCAGTCATCACAAATTTTACATACTCAATTGAAAATCTAAAAATAAAAAAGTTTATATCACAGTCGTTTGTGTATGTCTTCACTAAAAATCTAAAAAAAAAAATGTACAATAATAAATCACAAATTTTACATACTCAATTGAAAATCTAAAAATAAAAAAGTTTATATCACAGTCGTTTGTGTATGTCTTCACCAAAAATCTAAAAAAAAAAATGTACAATAATAAATCACAAATTTTACATACTCAATTGAAAATCTAAAAATAAAAAAGTTTATATCACAGTCGTTTGTGTATGTCTTCACTAAAAATCTAAAAAAAAAAATTTACAATAATAAATCATGGTTCTATTTTTATCTTAATATCTTCTTTTTCTTCTCGGTTTTTTTTCTCGTAATTTGTGGTAAACCGAATGTACCACTGCACTTTGCTCATCATTGCTAACAAATAATATATAACATATCTCCATGTCACATACATCCCCAGTATTAAATGTCCGGTTATTTAGCCATCACATATCCCTATCCATCACCATTTCCCTCTTAACTGTTGCAATGGTGACTTAAGGCGCCCGGTGCCGTCCTCAAAAATGCACTCTTCGGGAATAACAATACTACCTTGAAGAATCAACCAAATTTCATAATTTTTTTTGTTGCTAGAGAAAAATATTCTACAGCCCACATGGATCTCAGATAAAAGCATTCAGAGATCGATGCGGGCAGTAGGAAATTAAAAATTTGAAAAACTGGCACCGGGACCCTTAAGCATGGGCGCAATTTTGAATAAATAACATGAAAAAAAATAAAAGGACTTTTTATTTATAATTCATTTTCCTATTTACCATTGCAATTTCCTTATAATGTATAATATCCACATTCAATAATATTTACAATAATTCACATAATTCACAAATACCATATTTCTAAAATATTATAATTACAGTAATATGTTTACCTTTCTAGCTTATATTATTAAATTAATTATGAATTAATATTATTAAAATAATGTAAAACAATAAAAACAAATGTAATCAAAAATTCAAAAATAAAACTGTAAATTGTAAAAGCGGCTAATCATCGCATTATCATTGTCATATTGTTATCATGTATATTTTCCGCGCATGCGCATTTGTTATCATAGTTGTCGGGTCTTTAATAAAGACCCGACTGTCGGGGATATAGCCACAGCGTATTTATTATCTCATGTCTGAAATTGAGAAGTTCTGAATTCCGAAAGTCGTACTCTAGTCTAACTTGTAGTCCTCAAACAAATATTGAAAATTGTAATAAGCAAGTGTAATTTTCATACCTCGTTTTAAAAAGATAATTCTCATATCTATCATCTATATTGACTATTAAGTACCTTCAACACTTTAGTCAACAATTCTAAACAAATGTTCAATGATATAAAATATTTTTAATTGTTAGGTAATTAGTATTTTTTGTATAACATTCAGTCAGACAGTATTATATTTGAAAAAATAATTTTTCCATCATTAAGTTATCATGGTATGTATGTAATTGATATATTTTTAAATATTTTGTTTAGTTAGATACCTACCAAAATAACTATGAAATTGGTAGCTACAGGTATAGGTATAATATTACCTATAGGTATAATATTATGTTACTTTGGAAGTAAATTTTTAGTGTTAATCCTAAAGGTATAATATACAGATAAAATATAAATAAAGTTTGAAAAAAATAAAAAATTCTTATACATTTTTTGTGCTTTTTTATCTGCAATATTTTTTTTCTAAAAAATAGTATTTAATCCAAAAAATACAATTAAACAATTTTTTGTTTAAAAAAATGTATGCAACCTTCAAGTAATTTTCAAAATTATTATCAACCCTAGTATCGACCGCTGTTATACATAAATAATAAATATAAATGTTAAAACTAATCTACCTTTAATACTATTAAATTACAATAGGAACCTACTTACAATAGTGTTTGTACTTTTGTTATAATTGTGTGGAGATAATCAATTTATGTATAACTAATGCAGCATTATTCTAATTATAGAATAAAAAGAATATTATTTTTTTTTCAAATTATTAATTAATTCTGTTTGTATGTCCCTTATAAAATTGTTTATCTAGTCGTTTAATAGAGTTGAGGAAGAATCGTTTAGCACAACTTTTGATATTGGATCATTGCCTAAACACTATGAATTTAATGAATTTATATCAGATGAAGATACAGAATCAGACAGAGATGATTTACCACGACTTGTACTTATGGGCTTAAGAGGGTAAATTGTTGTATAAATTATTGTATATACTTTGATTTACATTTATAAAACTTTTAAGGAGTGGAAAAACTTCCATACAGAAAGTGGTTTTTCAAAAAATGTCGCCGAATGAGACCTTATTTATTGGAAGTAATAATTCAATGCTAAAAGATGTTGTTAATAATTCAGCATTTGTGAATTTCCAAATTTGTGACTTTCCTGGTCACTTTGACTTTACTGATTCTGAATATGATGTACAATCTATACTTCAAGGATGTCAATCACTTGTATTTGTGATTGATGCTCAAGTAAATATATAATTATTTATATTTTATAAGATTAATTTAATGTAAATTAATCTATATTATAAATTCATTCTTTCTAAGGATGCTATAGCTAGTGCACTTAATCGTTTACATTCAGTTGTAACAAAAGCCTACAAAATAAATAAGAATATAAAGTTTGAAGTTTTTATTCATAAAGTAGATGGACTCACAGAAGATACTAAAATGGAAACTCAAAGAGAAATCCACCAAAGAGCTAATGATGATCTTGTAGATTCAGGTAGTTTTTAGACTCTTAAAACTATGATTCAACTGTAAAAGTTAACTGCCATTGCCATATTAATGAAATGTTTTATCAATTCATCACATTGAAACGAATAAGTACCAACTTTTTGTTTAGGAGATGAACAAAAAATAAACATTAGTTTCCATTTGACGTCAATTTATGATCATAGCATATTTGAAGCATTTAGTAGAGTTGTGCAAAAAATGATTCCTCATTATGCAACTCTTGAAAATTTTCTGAACATCATTATATCAGTAATATTTATATTTTTTGAATAAATATTCATTTATTAGTTTTATAAATTATTTTATTTCAGACATCTGGAATTGAAAAAGCCTTTTTATATGATGTGAAAACTAAAATATATGTAGCAACTGATTCATCACCGGTCGATATTCAAAGTTATGAACTTTGTTGTGATATGATTGATGTTGTTATAGACTTATCAAATATTTATGGGTAAATAATTTATAGATTTAATTTATTATTAAAATGTGTTTGGTTCAATGTCACAATATTTTTAGATTGGGTGAAAATCCAGGATTAATGAATGATCCAGCTTTCGATGATCAAAGTTCAAGTCTAATTAAACTAAACAATGGTACAATTTTATATTTAAGAGAGGTATGCAGTTTTTTGGCTCTTGTATGCATACTAAGAGAAGATAACTTTGAAAAACAAAGTGAGTTACAAAATGTCATACATTTAATTCTATTAAACATTCTATGATACATAATATATATTTATTTTTTTAAATTTTCATTTTTATTTGTAGGAATTATAGATTATAATTTTGTGATTTTACGAAAAGGTATACATAAACTTTTTGAATTAAAAGATAAAGAAAAAGAAAGTATTGAACCTAGAAAGACACCATCATATAAGTAATTAATAATTTAACTCACTTATGTTTGATTGTTATACCTACCTATTACTGAAATTTTACTTTATTTTAAGATATTATGTAAGTTTATATTTAATTACTTATAAAAATAATTGTGGTAATCATTGTAAAACTATTGAAATTAAAATGGTGTAATAATACAAATATAAAATTAATAAATTATCATTAGTTGGATTTATAAATAACATTTTTTGTACATTAATTATTATTTAAGCAAGGCATTATTTTTTCATGTTAAAATAGAATATTTTTAGGTAAATATTCATTATTAAATTGAATGGTACTTCAATCATATTGAATACTAGTATTATATTATAATATGAAGGGTATTCATAGAGTATATACTTTAATTTTTTTTAATTACTATTATTTTGTACTATTATACTATCCATGTACTTCGCCATTCAACCTTGGCAACATTTTTTTCTGTCTACCTACCGTGGTCACTGAGTTGATTGTCATTCTCAAACCACTCTATATCAAAATGATTCATCAATATTGTGAAAAAGCAGTTATGCAGTTGATGGGGAAAAAAGAAACAATCAAATTTCTCAAGTACAGCAAGTACTATTGTTGTTGATACACTTTGGAAGTTAAATATAGATCACAGTTGAAAAAGAAAAGTTTAACGTAAAGCTAGTATAACTTCATAACTTAGTATAATTACTATTAACATTTTCTTAATTAAAGTTGCACTACACTAATTTATTACCCAAGAAAAAAATAGAGAATTTAGTTTTATTGGATACCTCTTAACACTTGTATAAAAATAAAATCAGAGTTTACGAAAACCTCAATTTCACTATGTGGAAATTACTTATACATATAATTACTAAAATAATATTGAAATTTGAAAGACACAATATTATAATATTTAAAAACTTGCAACTTCATTATTATAAAGCAAATTTTATAAATAACTTAAGACACTTTTCGTAAGTGGAATTGATTTTATTTGTTTACTTAATTATCAATATTTATATTGAACAATTATAATATTATATTAAAACAATTTGCTAGAATTTTCTTATAATAAACCTTTAAACTAAAAACTTTCAATTATATATTCCAATGGCCCAAAATTTAAAATCTAATATATTGTGGTAGGTACATTATAATAATTAAAAATACCATTATGAAAAAAAAAATTAAAAATATTCATTTTACATTGGTAAAATAGTATTATTAATTGTAATTTTGTTATTGTATGGTACTATTATGTTGAACATCAAAATATAGATTAGTTAATATTGCATATGAACAGGTAAAACAAAAAATATATACACAAAATCTTTTTCCCGTTAAGCTTGCCAATTTTAAATATCTAGATATTTTTCTTGCCAAATTCTGAGAAAACCCCATCATTAATAACACAATTATGTGTATATTATCATGTTGCTCTTTTGACGTATATAATTCAGGTATTGCACTGAGCAGAAATGGCACTACTATTGACTAGAAAAGACCAAACGCAAAAATATTAATAATATAAAATAAATATACAGTATCAATACAATAGTTAGCTTATGTAAGTATATGAAATAATGTAAAATTATATTAATTATGTATAAGCAGAGGCTAAGTCTAGCTTTATTCATATTAATGCAGTCCAATGGGCAATATCTTATACAATCAAGGCTGTCCAGAAAAAAAAATTTATTTATTTAATTTCCAAAATTAAACACCAATAATAAAATAGTAAAATGCTACAGAGCCGTGAACAACTAATCACCCCACTAACAGGAAACCTTAGGTATTGGTATTTCATCTAAATTTTGAATATTCATGATCAATATTTGTCTGGATCTTGTTATCTTATGTGTAGGTTAGTCTATAGTCTGTTCGAAATAAGACGATGACCCTACGGCCGAGTTGTGCTCACAGGCGTGGCTATGTTCCGTGGCAGCGCCTGACTGTCGCGGAACGAAAACTAGTCGCCACCAGGTCATTGTCTTATTTTGAACAGAGTATAGTATGTGATAAATTTATGGAAGAAGGGTAAATACTGGCATTCAATTTTTACAACTAGAAATTATTGTCAAAACAAATATAATGTTCTAAAAAACTCTTTGAAATTAATCAAAAATAAGTTAATAGCGATTAGCGGTTGTAACATGGCACACATTTTAAATTACACATATACCATGATGACAACCTGACAATTTACTGACATACATTACCCAAACAATTTTAAGACACACTAAAAAAACCTACAAAAATGGTAAATCTGAAGTGATAGTTTTAAAATATTAAGCGTGCATAAAAAATAATGGAAAAATATATTTGAATAAAGCAATGCTATGACATAAGAATTAAATATTATGGTATTGGCAACTTAGGATAATAATGTGGTTTTTAAAATACTTTGGGAATTAAAAAATAATAAACTACATTAAAATATTAATTTTTAATCAACTAATATGAAACTTTTTGAGTATTATGGGAAGTAAAAAGTGAATCTAGGTCAAAATATCCAATTTTAAAAATGTAGTAAAAAGTTTTTATGTATAATTTGAAAATAAAAATAACATAATTATGTAGATTAGTAGATAATGCTGAATTTTAGTTTAAATTAGTTTAAATATTTTCTAGTAAAATTAGCTCAAATATATTAATTTCTAAAATTGCAAGCATAGAAAAACGTTTTTTAGAAAATAAATCTTATACACATTTTGTTTTTATAGTAGGTACCTACATAAAGTGAACTAGAAGCTTTTAGCTCATGACAATAGAAATGGATGTTCTATACAAAATAGATGATGATGAAATTATTAAAATACTAAAGTCGAAAAGCAGACTTTTATTGAATAAGATTTCTAATTAAATATAAAAATATTGTAACATTAATAATTCAAATTATTCACTTGTATTGTGTTATAAAGATAAAGGTACACTTAGACCGTTTTTAATGTGTTAACTATTGTAAACATAAGCTGTTCAAAGCTTGTATCGATGTATATAGTTATACATTTTGCTAAAATTTAATATTTGGTAAATTAGTCAGTGGGCTAGTAATATCCACCCAAGAGTTGAATTTTTAATTTATGTTGTAAGCTATTATTAAAAAAAAAACTATTTTATAAATAACAATAATATTATATTAATATATTATTTGACAATAACAACTAATGTTTGTGAAGTATATTTTGTGATATTATTGCAATTAAAGTAATTTATTTATTATTATTAATACAGCGTAACTAGGTTGAATTAATTTTACAATTCAATATATTATGATTTATGAGTTAATTTTGTTAGAAAATAAAATGTTATCTTAAAATCTGCGTAATTGAATTATTTTACATTTAAACCAATATTTTATTTCATATTATTTGAGATTAATGAGTAATGACATTTTAAAATGTTATACTTAATGTTATTTATAAGAATTTTTTATTTTAAATTGTTTTTTTTCCTCAGAATAGAAACAGAACTTTTATTTTTATATTACAATTATAATATCTACTTTAATATTAAATTATATTACTTACATTGCCAAATAAAAATCCTAAGTCATAGTAAAATAATACTAAAACAAATTGAGATAATACAATGTGTAAGGTTGTAATAGATGGTAATTTAATTTCATGTTTAATATCTTTGGAATGTAATTGAGGATTGAAATTATTTTGTTCATAGTTAAAATCTTGTTGGTTCTCAAGAATTGTTGGTATCACATTTTCTATAAGACATTTTGGAACAGGAGAATAGAGCAATTCAGAATTCTGTGTACAGTTCTCTGAAAAAAAAAAAAATAAACATAAATTAATATTTTTTGAAATGTATTAAGATACATAAATTAAAGAGTGGGCCATAGGAACTTTCAGTTTTCTGATGTATCTTTTATTTCAAAAGAATAAAATACAAGACGTGTTCTGCTATAATGATCAAAAAGTTTTTTTGCATTTAAAAAATTAAATTAAATTCTAAAAAAGGGTAGATTACTTAGAGAAAATTGTTTAAATCTTGAATTTATTAATTACATAATAACTAATATCAATCTAATAATATTTATTACCTGATATTTTGTCTTTTATAAATTCTGATTGTTCATTTAATATACTTTGGGTTTGGTTAGAACTTATGGAAGTAATTCTTTTAAGTCTAACTTCTGAATTCTCTAATATTCTTCTGCGCCTTGCTTCACGTCTTGCTTCAACATCCATTATACAATTTGTATAATTATAACATTCAGTTTGTAGGTCAGAAAAAAATTACTTGCAAAATTATACTAATATTAATTTAGAGACATAACATTCAAATTCGTTTATATAAAAATAAGTTAAACATCTCACTTTATTTTTATAATTTTGATGTCAAGACTGGACAGAATGCGGACCACGATTGAAATTTTAAATTTTAAAACAAAAGTTTTAAGATAATAACATTATCTTGCTACATCCTCGAAATAATAATCACGGACTAAGATATCTTAGTCCGTGATAATAATATACACTGATGTCTGATTACCGGGGTTGCTACAACTACCTCGAGAATCATCTGCAACGATTTAATAACACTTCGAATTTATTACTTCGAACATATAATGTCACGACTACGACTACTCCGATATACTATTACACCGAAATTCTATATAAATTATTATTACTTGTTAAAAATTGTTACGATGTGAACTACTCCGAAAATATTGCTCTGACGTGAGATTACTCCGGTCTCCGAATCTCAAAATTATGTATAATGTATAAAAGTACATAATATTTACGTACAAGTATATTTTAATATCTTAATATCCATAAATTATAATAAAACTACTATTGTCTATTAGTGGAATATTAGCATGTAAACAGAGTTTTTTTAGTATCCAGACTACTTCATTACTTCCATAGTATATTATGTACGCTAAATATTAATACCCTTTACCCCAATACCCAACCAGTCCAGTGGTTAAATTGGGGGGACGTAGGGGGACGGAGTCCCCCTTCTTATTTACGGTAATGTTATGCGTCCCTTTTAACTTAAGTCTCCAAAGTCCGGGGGACGCTACTAAATTATTTGTTTTTTAATGAAATGTTTAAAATTAAAATGTAAACATATATCTTTTTTAACATTTCAGGCAATGAATTTCAATTTATTTTTTAGCATTTAGCATTTTTAGCAGTCATTATATGTTCATTAATTTGATTTTACATACTATTAGCAAACTTTTTATGAACAAATTACAAAGGTGTGTGAAAAAAACAAAATATACCTAGTGGGTAGTGGGTTTCTTAAAAAAGTTTGGTTAGATATAGACTTTGGCAGAACTCGGGAACGCTCCTCAATTTTTGGTGACTTTAGTATCCCCTCAACATTTTTCCCACTTTAACAACTGCCAATCACACACCCACCCACACAGAATTTGAACCCCTTCACCACGCCACTGATGCCAGTGTACACTGTGCCACTGTGCAATGAGAAACATCAAACATTATTTTATATTTATTCAGTGCACAAGAAAATAATAATTACCTAATATAGTAGTTACTTTACCTAACCATTAGTCATTACTATTAAGTATTATTATTATTAGCTATGATTTGTATATTACAATATATATAATATATTGTACAATTTCACGCTTACGTTTTAAATCTTTAACATTAGGTAGGTATAACATTATATAATTTACTCAACTAAATGTCTTGTTAGGTACTATTAATTGTTATTATTATTACATACATAGGTAATTTCGTTTTCTGATATTTTTGTAATAGCTAGTTTACAAAAATATTTTAATTCTAATAAGTCGTAATTTTAAATTAGTACCTAATTTTTAAAATGCACTGTTATTTAAAATACATATTGTACAAAATAAATAATAATGTGTTCAACAATATTGTCTTCTATGGTTCTTAATGGAACTGCAGGACACATTTTCTTCATGGGTACTTCTTAGACCAGGAAGCGGTGGTAAACTACACAATATACCTACCTACTTCGAAATGTCCGATTTTAATTTTTAATGTATAGTGTATACAATATACATACATTCTTTGAGAAAATATCTGGGTTATTTAGTTCAATTTTAAATTTTAAATCAAATAAAAAAATAATTAAATATTATTCTTAAAATTCTGTGAAATAATTGCATTGCGTATTTACGCTTATATTTATTATGGGCACATTTTAGATTTTAAACAGAAAACATGATTCCTAAAATTCTTAGTTAAGAAAAGTATGTATTCAACCATTTTTTCGAGACTACAATCGAACTTCTGGATGCACGTATAATTTACAGCTCATGTTGTTTGTATAGTTATACAAACAAAAATATTAAAATATGTTTGTTTGTATAGTTATACAAACAAAAATATTAAAATATGTTTCATTTTCAGCAAAGCATTGACATGTGCGTGTACTTGCGAGAGTTGTATTCGTCGGTGGCAGTCAGCAGATAACAGATTACACACACAGACACAATAATGTTAATTTAGTACCTATATACACAGTCACACATTATTGAAATTTGAAACATCCCAAATGTATATGTCATAAGAATTGCCTATATATTTTACTCATTAAAACTAAGCATATTACATTATGCTCCACCCAGTCTCTAGCCCCTCTGAACTAGGTACTTTACAACCAGTGGCGTAGCCAGGGGGGGTTTTGGGTGTTTAAAAACCCCCCATTGACATTTCCCCCCTAATAAATATATTGTTTATAGGGTTCGGGACTGCTTGCATGTTTCATTGTAGTGGTAGTAGGTTATTTTAGATAAGTTATAAATTTGTCTTATCAAACGAAGTTTGAATTTGCAGATTTTTGCATATTGTAGGAAAATTGTACATTTGAGCGATTTTTCGCATATTTGTGCATATTTTAAATTTTTTAACTTAAATGTAGGTACATACAATTGTTGGGCAAAATCATATTTGGATAACATTGAAAAAAATCTTTAAAAATATTATGTTTGGTTAGGTACAATATAAGCGCTAATTTTGAGATTTGGGGAAGCCGAAGTCTAAAACCATACTATTATAAAATTTAGTAAATGTTTGGGAGGCCTGTTAAAGTTGTTGGTGGAGCTTGGCTACGGTTGGCCCTATTTTCGCAAATGGCACGTAAGACTCTATAAGTCTTTTGTGACAAGACTGTGTTAAAACACTTAAAACTATAATTTACATCTAGATTGTACGAATAAATGAAAATCAGTAGATATGTGTTCGTTTATCACGGTGTTCGCATATCACGTTATTCATTATTAGGTACTTATTTATTACCTAGTATTATACCAGCATTTTTAAAAATCAAATTTTATTTCACAATAGTTTAAAAATATCTAAAACATGCAATAGTGTCCTCCGTGGCTCCGTCCATCATATTAATCATTAATCAATATAGGTACCTACCTATATTAAAATTTGTATACCCGTCTTTAAATTATTTTTATCATGTTTATATAGGTACCTACTTATTTTTTAGTTTTTTATTACAAAAATTGTAATATGTTTTATGAATTTTTCAAAAATAATGTAAAAATGTAGCTGCATATATTTAAGCATATTTTGTAAATGTTGACTGCATATTTCGATAGTTTTTAATGCAACAAGTCAACTCCCGAATTCTAAATTTATTTATATATGAAAACTGTAAAAACTTAGTTTTAATCTATACTTAAACACCCCCCATTTCATAATTCTGGCTACGCCACTGTTTACAACAAATATCTATCGATAGGAGTTAATACTTTTTTTTAATTTCACATTTTCAATTTAATGATCTTATAATTTAAATTCAAAATGTCATGCATTTTTAACAACAAATTAATTTAAAGTTTCCCAATTTGATGAGATTTGACAAAACTCACGAAAAAATTAGTACCTGCTTAGGATAGGTAATAGCGCCAATAGGTATACCTATATGACGTAGGTACCTACGACCTAAGTACCACAGTTAGAAATCGGAAGTTGATTTAACATTTTACTGAATTTGTAAAACAGCTCAATTGTAAATTATATGCTTTGGAGTGTTAAAATAACAACAGTGTGTGTATAGAATGAAATATAGGTGGTTTAACACTAGGCTTGCACTCAATTCAGTAAAGCAATGAGCGTAGGAGTTATAACTTATATTAACTCTGAATAGATGTTGAATTGTTGATTGTTATATTATCCAATATCTTATAATTAAAATAACAACGGTACCTATATTATTGAATTAAATACATACGTGTTACTTTATTAAATGTTACATTACTTGTATGTTTGTTGTTAAGCTACCATAAAATCAATAATTTGAAAAAAAACTTATAGATTATTTATACGCATTTCAAACTATTTTAAAAATAAATTAGTTAGGTAACAAGTCAATTTCCTTAGGTACCTATTAGAGGTTCATAAAATATTATGAACTTGCCACTAGCACGAGTGCTGCATTATCAATGGGATTTACCAACGATTAAAGTACCTATTAACTTACTTGATGACTTTTACCCTGATTTAAACGGTTATTTTCTACTAAATTGTAGTCGCAAATTAGTACGATTAGTATTATCTTTCATTTATGAGATTTATACTTCACAGGTACCTACATGATTAATATTAGGTATTTGGGTACATTATTACTTTTGACTTTTGAGTTGTTTAGGTACCTACTAATTGTATAGTTGTGTGTCAACAAAATTGTCGTGTGTTGACTGATTTCGGAAAAATCTGTTAAAAAAATGAAGGTGGGAAGTAGGTAACGCTCTGGCTCTGCTGTACAGTAGAATAATGTCTAGATGAGTCACAGTCACTATACTCACTGTAAATGTAAGTTAAAATTGAATTTAATGATACAAAATCATTCAATCACAAAAAACGATGCTGAGCAAAGACGGTCTGTCAGTCGTGTGGTGTAATTTGGTCATGTTTGTAGGGGGTGAATTGAAACATTTACGGTTTACCACCGCCCGCACCTTGAAAAAAAATTGATTTATATAAAAAAAAACCTTTTAGCCCAACCGGCAACCATTGTGATCTGTATAATGTATCTAACTAGGTACTTATATTAATGCATGCAATTATTAAAATAAATAATTTGGTACCTATACTACCTATTTAATAAAGTTTTATATTAAAGTGTATAATACAGAATAATCAGCGTAGGCGTAAAATACTGAAAATTGCCAACTTCAAAAAGTTATAATTTTTAAACTATAAGTCTGACTGCCAAATTAACAAAT